ATTAGTAAGAAGAAGAAGAAGAAGAAGAAGAAGAAGAAGAAGAAGAAGAACCCTAATCAACTATATATATATATATATACAGACCTAACTCTTTCATCTCACCAAGAAACGCCTCAAGCACTTGCTCACCAAGTCTTCGGACTCGCTCACCAGCTCATGAATGGTTGATTAGTCTTCAAACACCTCCAATCAAGCGGCCCATTGTTTTCGGAGCACTGTCACGGCTGTCTGCTTCTTGACGTGCGACACGTCCATAACTCGGGTGCCCTAACTCGGGGCACCAACTTGCAGAACTCGTCGCGTCACCCCTATGAGCTCGATCGGCTTGTCCATTATAGCAGGAGTCAACGTTGACTCCACCAACTTGGACGGAGTCCTCTTGGCCACCGCTATATAAGCTTCCGATGCCGCACATAGAGTCGTACCACGACCTGGCATAAGATTGCAGTCATGAAGGTAAGTGGTGACCTCCTGCGGCCGAAAGGGTTCATGGTACGTTGTGTTCTGATAGTTTTCTTGGGGTTCAATTGCAGAAGATCGTGTTGAAGGTCAGCGTCATGTGCACCAAGTGCAAGATCTGCATCATGACCATCATCTCCAAGTTCGACGGTCTGCAGCGGCTGATTGCTTCTGTGGTTGGGTTCTTTGGTGTTGCATCAGACTGAAGCTTGATCGATCGATTGATTGCAGGGATTGTTTCGATCGCGATGGACGTGGAGAAGAGCACGGTGACGATAGTGGGGGAGGTGGACGCGGTGGGCGTGGTGAAGGCGCTGAGGAAGGCGAAGAAGCCGGCGGAGATCGTCAGCGTGGGCGATCCGGACAAGAAGGAGGAGGATAAGAAGAAGCCTGAGGACTGCAAGTTGCCGCCGTGCTGCAACACCTGCCGGACCGCCGTCGTGTGGCTGGATGAACCAAGCGCCTGCACCATATCCTGAATCCATGCACACTGCTTTTGCTCCTCTCTTTGATTTGGCTTAATCATCTCCTCATGTACGCAGATGCTTCCAATATCTACTTAATTTCTCGTTTGTACTGTAAGCAAACAGCAGATTGTGTAGAATGAATATATATTTGCTCTTGATTAATCCTTTCAATCCCAAATCCCACATGATCTGCTTAACCATGTGAAATCAATTCCAATCATGTTGCATTTGGTTCATGCACTAGAATCCTGTTCTCCCGAGAGAGAGAGAGAGAGAGAGAGAGAGAGTTGGAATCAACAGCACTTGATTCTCCTCTCATCTCCCAACCTTCAACAGCTCGATGAGACGACTGTGATCATGAGTCAACGTACAAACCTTTTCACGTAGCTAAAACTGATGATGGTAGAATAGTCAACGTGCAAACCAAATGGTCCTACCGATGCAATCTATCTAATTCATACACACAACTGGTGTACTGTAACAACTCTTTGAATTCATATACACAAATGACGGCTTTGATTTGTCTTATACTGTAAATTACATCTTGATCTATCGAGACCGCAAAGACTTCAGAGGAAGGAGTCTGAGAACTCAACTTCTGAAGCTTGTCGGACGTCAGAGCTGTTGAACGTCCCATTTATTTTCAGAGGAGTCCAACCACGCTGCAAATAAACTAGAGGAACAGGTAGGCTTAAACATGGTATTTCCCTGAAACCGTGGGTATAAGACACTGCTCGTCTTCATCATCCGCCGGACTACTACTGCTTGTGTCACTGTCCCAAGCAGGAGGAAACAGCTCATCTCTATCACGCCATTGGCAGCCTGCTCTGGGGAGCACATGCTCTCTCTTCTCTAATAGATTTATGAGGCAAGAGAGAACACGGAATAAGAGGAGCTGAGGTTTGTGCCTCACGACCATGCAAGTTGAATGTTATACTCATCTCTTAGTCTCTTCACCTAATATAAAGTAATAAGCCGTCATCTAACTCAGCTGGGATCTTCCATGCTAATCGCAAGGTTTGATTTAATATTCTAATAGCAATCAATCATTATGCTTGGAATCAAAGGGTTTCTTGTTCTGAATTCATGTCCCCTATATCATGTTCTTCTTACCCCTGAAAACTAATTGATTCACTTGCTTTGAGTTAATTTTCCTTACTTCATTGGATTTGTTTTGTTTGCATGAGTGTTTGGTGAAGCATTCAAGTACAACTAAATGTATAGCATCAATTGAAATGTACAACTAAACCTTGGCAAGAATCATCAAGAAAGAGCATTTAAATTTTTTTGAAGGCTTCAGTTTGATGCTACAAGAAATTATCTCTTCTATAAAAGACTTGGAAAAAAAAATTGGAAGAAGCTATTAAAATGTATCAGAATTTTTGGTCTCTCAAGCTAATCAATCTTCTTATGGCTTGTTCTTCCATCAAATATTTTTCTTCCCTGGTTCTACTTCAGAGCACCTACCTCAGAGATTTAGCTTGGATGTTTCCAGGATCTCATACCTAACCAACAATTGATGGCAGATTGACTTGTCAAACAGAGATTAGACCAAGTTTATCAGCCCCATGTTCTACAGATTAGACTAAGTTTATTAAGGTCAGCATCACATGATTCAAGAATCCCTCTTGTATCAGAGCATTAAATCTGCATCATTCACTCTTTTTTATTAAGTATCAATTCATTCCCTGACCACATCTCAACAAGTGGAGTTGATCTTCAATCAAAGGCCAGCTATATATCTTACCATTATAATATTGTCTTAAATATTATCAGCATCTTATAAGATCTTGCATGACATCATGGAAAGACAACAATATGGAGGCATAATTGCATCACAATACATAAGAATCTGTCTTCCTTGAACTGCTAATTACAATACTTCTCTTTGCAATCTCCTTCCATGTGTCTACCACAATACAGAGAGACAAATTAATAGCACAACACACAAGAATTTGTCTTTCTTAAACTGCTTATTTCAATACTTCTCTTTGCATGTCCACAACAAATTTGGCTGGTTTGGCTAGCACAAGAGTAAAGGCTTCTTGGCATTGTCATCAGGAGCACAAATTTGGCTGGTTTGTCTCAACAAGCAGAGGTCCACCTCCTCATGAACCACAAACAAAAAAGCTCACTGAGTTGTTTTCAATCACCATCCATCAGACCCACCTTCTTCACAGCATCTAATCTAAGTTATCTGACAACATATCTAATTGTCTACACTGAATGTGCCCTGTCAAAACAGGCCACCAAAAGGAAAAAAGATAGCAGAGTACTACAAAAAAGAGCCAAATCCTTGATGCCCATCACTACATGAAAAAAGTAAGAACAGAGCTCATCCTCCACTGAAACTTATAGGATCCTGCCACATGACCAGATTCTAGCAAACATCTGCTGCCAATTTTCCAAGAGGAAGTTAGATCCCGAGTTGGAATTAGGCAATCAGCAGCCACATTGCAGCTTCCAGCATGGTTAAGAGCATGAAAAGACAGGTAGTGGAGGAAAGCCACAAGTTGGACTGCCAAGTAAATGGACCTTGCAGTGGTGAATGCCATGAGGGTACCAAAGTGTGGTGCTGTTGTCTGTGTCACTTGTACTACTCTTTCCAACACCTTAGTTCAGTCTGTGTGGGTAGGCACTTGGATCTGTGTGGAAGGGCATTACAGACAGAAAAAGCAGATCCACTGGATCATTCAGGGGACTAAAGGATATATGTATATTCTTCTCAAACATCCCATTGGAATCATTGCAGGTGTCATCTTCTTCCATTAGCCACAAATCTGGGTTCCTGATGCTGTATAAATTGAGCCCCTTGAGAAACCAATCTGAGCATCCAGCATCCAGCATCACATTCTTTGAAGGTAAAGATATGTATGCTTCTCTGGAGATTCTCATACTTCTCATGTTTGTTTCAGCTCTTCTTGATGTCCCTGTGAATTGGATCTCTCATGTCAGCTATAAATTTCGATCTACTGACCTTTCCACTGCTGAATTATTTTCTGTTCTTTACATTATTGTTACTGTCTAACAATAAACTGGTTTCATGATGGATCAATCTTTACTATAGATTGGTATATTTGGGGATTCTTAGAAAAGTTTATTGTCACAAGTCTTTTCCTGATGGTGATCAGATCACACATAATTATAATATCATATTTGGTGTAAATTGTTAATCTTATCCTTTCTTTAGCATGAAAACAGCCTCAATGATATCAAAGCAAGGAACTCCACATCTTTATATCAAGATAATGTGTTTCCATCCAAGCATATTGTAGGCAAAAAAACAAATTCATTTACCTGACAGATTTATCATCTCTTCCACAGAATTCCTGACAGATTTCATATTTGCCAAAGCTGAACAATTTCATCATAGGTTGATCTTTTGCCATAAAATCTTGCTAATGGCTGACCTGCTTTTCTTGAAGGAATAAGATTGAAGCATGGAAACTGTTGTACATGAAGCCAAGTATGAGTGTCTGCTCTTTGGTAAGCTCAGATTTCAGGTATATTTATACATGTTGCATCTGTTCTTTGTTTACATTCACATGCACTGATCTCAGATATGGATGATACCTTATATCCCTTGAGTTCTGGCCTCAACTTAGCTTGCCGCAAGAACATAGAAGGTGAGTTCGGCTCCAGTGACATTTGAGTTGATTCCAAGCATGTAGCCTCTTCTAATTAATCTATATACATGAATCACAGATTACATGCTTCATCATCTCCAAATTGAGGAAAGTCAAGTCCCAAAAATGTGCTTGGAATTGTACAAGGAATATGGAACAACAATGGCTGGTCTTAAGGTGTTCTATCTGATTAAGAAGTCTGTACACTTGAATCAGCTTAATCTTTTTTTGTCTTTCTGTGAGCAGGCATTAGGATATGAATTCGACGACGACGAATTCCATGCTTATGTTCATGGGAGATTGCCGTATGAGATACTAAAGCCTGACCCTTTGTTGAGGAATCTACTTCTTTCGATGCCACAAAGAAAGATAGTAAGCAAATCCGGTGATGAAGAAGAAAAAGAGCACCAATTATGAATAATCACAAACAAAAGATAGAACTTAAAATTGCTTAGAAATCCCATGCTAATGATTTGATCCATGCCATTCTTCACCAGATTCTCACAAATGCGGACAAAGCTCATGCTGCACGAGTTCTCAGTAGGCTTGGCCTCGAAGACTGTTTTGAGGGTGTCACATGCTTTGAGACACTCAATCCACCGCGACAGCAGAATGGTTCAGCTGATGGTCATGGAAATTTTGGTGAGACCGATTCAAACACCGATGGAGAGAGTGATTCAAGCGCTGATACCGCCGGTTGTGTTGGTGGAAGGAAGTCGAATTCCAAAGGCCGAATACTCTGCAAACCATCACTGGAAGCTATAGAAGCTGCCATCAAGATCGCAAACATCGATCCGAAGAGAACGGTTTGTCTCAGTTTAGAGATCGGTTCTCCGTTCTAATCACAAATTGGCCACGTACTGATCGAAAATTTTCGGGTTTCAGATCTTTTTGGACGACAGCGCAAGAAACATCGCGGCAGGAAAGGCAGCAGGTCTGCATACTGTTCTTGTAAGTCACTGCTCCCTCCATCTTCTTCCTCCTCTTTGTGCTATTCTTACGGAGTCAGACTCAAGTTGGCATGATCATAACTTGCAGAAAACTAAGATCACATAAGATTCATGTCACCACACTACATGTCGGTGAGTGCAGGTTGGGAGCCCGACGCTGGTACCAGGGGCTGATGTTGCACTGGAGAGCATCCACAACATGAGAGAGGCATTGCCTGAGATATGGAAGGATGGAGATAAGCTGGAACCAGTTCTTGCTGCCACTGCTGTGGAAACAACAGTCCTTGCCTAGACCATGACCACCATCTTGACTTGTATGAAGCAAAACCCACAGTAGTAGCACTTGTATTGTTGAGATCATAAAATGGTGGGCGTGCTTTGTTCCTTTGCATTCTCCTTCTCCTCTGTTCTGGTTTCCTTTGCGCACAAATGCCAAAAGCACTAACATCTACCACAAGGCTTTGATCAACTTGATATACAATGATATTATCACGAATTCTTATAAGTTAATCTTAGTCTTAGTCCACTTTCAATGTCAGACTTAAAGACTAAATTAAGATGTTATATATGTATATACTACTATATCAAGAGGATGATGAGTGCATATAAGAAGTCTCCGATTAGACGAGATTTGTCACATCAAACTATATTAGATTGGTAGGTCAAAAAATGCGTCCTACTGATTTATAGTAATGAAGAAAAAAATTTGAGGTCAAGTCATAAAGGTGCCAATTAGCTGATAAAGATTGATGTAAAATTTTAGATTCAAATCCTGCCTTCATTATTTATTCTTTAGAGTTGCATGTCATCAGTATCTCATATTCTCTTGATGGCCTGAGTAAGGCAAGCCAATTAGGGAACAGCCCAAAAGGCTAAGCCCAAGTTAAAGCCCAATATATCTTAAATGGGCTTCTACTTGGCTCAGCCCAACACTACTCCTAATAAATAATAGATCATAATTTGGGCTGACAAAAAAAAAAAAATCAAAAGTACCAACAATTGCAGCCCTTCAATACAATTTTGTCTCCACATTTAATTTGTTAAATAACCAAAATAGTTGTTTCATAATATTTTTAGGCATAAAATACACAAGTCAACTTCACATCTCAAAAACATTCAAATTGATTTTCGTTTTCAGAAATTTTGAACATGCTTTCATTTCATTGGATGAAAATGTTTGCCAAAGTGAAGAGTCATGCATATAATGTTTGCCAGGTGGATAAAAATGTTACTTACATGGTCCAGAAATTTCAATGTGAAAATAAACTTTTGTCCTCTGAAAATATTAGAGAAGATATTGTCTTAACATGTAATTTACTAAAATGGTATGGTTATTTTTATGTCATGTCATGTCATGCGTAATTGATGCCAATCGCATGACACCAATTAGCTTTGTTTATATCAACCGTAGAATTTAGTGGATCAATTATCATTGCATTTTGATTCATGTTACATTTTAATTGTTTTTTTAGTGTAATATTGGAGGAAACCAAAATTGCATAAACATATTGAAGAAGATACAATATGCAGATGAAAACATTTTCTTTCTCTTCACATTTTGATACGTATAAATGTGATACGTATATGTTCTATCTGTCCACCTATCATCCAACCCACATATCAAAGATTCTATAAATGAATGTATTTTTTATATTCATGCTCTGGGGCATCGAAAAAAAAAACATCAAAGACACAAAGAAGAATCTCAAGTTTTGAATATGAAATAGTACTAGAGAACAATGTCATAATAAGAGACCTTAGAATTATAAATTAATTAGTTTTACTCGTGATGTTATTTGTTCTTCAAGTAATGAAGTATGATAAATTAGATTCTATTATCTTCTAGTCAAATCGTTCTTCAAATTATTGTATTATGCTTTATGTTAATATGGGTGTCTTGAAAATATATGAAATGTCAAAGACAATTAAATTATTTTTAATTAGTAGAGTAGTAGATGAAAAGAAAAAACCGCTTTAATATTTAATTGAATTGAAAGATATCATTTATAAACCATACAATATTCATGAATTTTACTATCAAAATCCAATAAACCGAGCCATAAATCAGACAATCTCCGTCCTACCATATTACTATTATCTAAATCTAATAAATTTATGGGTGCAAAATAAAAGATATAAAAGATATATTAAATTTGATTCTCTCTAAATTTACTTTTTTTTTCTGGATTAGTTTGGATCTTTGAGCTATATTTGTCTCCGGCCATCAAACTGTTCCAGTCGATAGCTTCAAGCACCATGTTTCGGCAGTTGGCATGTAGTTTTCTCGTCATCCTCATTTGCAAAACGCCAACGACAATTGCACGCTATCCTTTATGGTTGTTGGCTCGTGTGATTCATATCACATGCACATCAACTGTTCGACTTGCACTCTTACCTTCCATCAAATCCACTTTTGTGATCCAACTTGTTAAACCACTGTTGCTCTGTCTGTCTTGTGTGTTTGGTGGTGCCACCTGCTGCAAGCATCAGCTACATCAAGCTTCACTGCAGTAGCTTCCACTCCAAATTGGTGGTTCGATTTCTTTGTTGCCAGCCGCCTTGAATTCTGTCACAGGTTGCTTGCTCCGATTTGGCTGTGATGGATAAGCTGAACTTTCAAGGGAAGAACCTTATCCGACATCAGCAAAACCAAATTAATGTCGTGTGCCAGCGTTATCGATCATCTTAAGCTTGCTGGTTGGCAAGATTAAGTTACAGCCTGGAAGCATCTCTGCTTATTTAATGCACTTCAAGCATGTATTTGTTGAGTTAGAAGCTACACATAATATTTTTTTCCATTGGATAGTTGACTAATGGCACCTTTCATGCCTCCTTCTCTGGTCTTCTCTCCCTCATTTCTTGGCTTGAGGTCCTCCATTTCGTGCCTACACACTTCTCACCAACCCCCTTATATTTATATATAGCACCCCTTTTCCCTTCCAAGTTCATCGCATTCTTCTCTTCTGCACAGCCTAAAAGTCGAGTCTCCCACCCAAGCCAAGCACAGCAACGTTGATGATAATGCTGACCGCCATGACCAAGCCTTCGCTGTTGCTGCTCGCCTTCTTCTCCCTCCTCGTTGTTCCTCCCTGCCTTGCCGCGGACCCCGACATGCTGCAAGACATCTGCGTCGCAGATCCTGGCTCAGGTAACAGATCTATTATGCGGAGATCAGAGGCTGTTCTTTCTCCTGCAAACTGACCACTGCGTGCAGGCGTCAAGCTGAATGGATTCGCCTGCAAGCCGGCGGAAAACGTGACAGAGGCGGACTTCTTCTTCAAGGGGCTGGCCACGCCGGGCGCCACCAACAACACCATGGGCTCCCTCGTGACCGGCGCCAACGTCGAGAAGATACCCGGGCTGAACACCCTGGGCGTGTCCATGTCCCGCATCGACTACGCCCCCGGCGGGCTGAACCCGCCCCACACCCACCCGCGCGCCACCGAGATCGTCTTCGTCCTCGACGGCACCCTCGACGTGGGCTTCATCACCACCGCCAACAAGCTGATAGCCAAGACCATCACCAAGGGCGAAGTCTTCGTCTTCCCCCGTGGGCTCGTCCACTTCCAGAAGAACAACGGCGCGGTGCCCGCCGCCGTCATCGCCGGCTTCAACAGCCAGCTCCCCGGCACCCAGTCCATCGCTGCCACCCTCTTCGCGGCAACCCCGACGGTGCCCGACGACGTCCTCGCCAAGGCCTTCCAGATCGGCACCAAGGAGGTGGAGGATATCAAGAGCCGCCTTGCGCCCAAGAAGTGAGGCGGCAATGGATCGAGTCAACGAGACTCCGTAACCGCCCGTGTGTTGTTATCTTCGGTCAACATTTGTTTTGAAGTCATTACGTGGTTGAAGAATAAAGAGTGTCATAACTACTTCAATGTGTTGGGCACCTCAGCCTTTGTTCGATGCTTATTCAATCATTAGCTAATAATAATGCTCAAACAAGCTTAATCATTTCATTTCTCTTCCCTTCTGAAATGATTCTATAGACATTGGGATACTACATGAGTTTAATATTAACTCAAAAAACACCTAAATGTTACTTCTTGGGAGTTTGACACATTTGAGTAGTGTGACTAATTGTGTAGTCTCATCAGATTATGGCATGCATGTATTTTAACTGCAGGAGACTGTAATATCCTGATCAGATTAATCATATATCTAATTAGGTGAGTAGTCTTGATTAATATGTGAATATTTTTCTTTGGGCTTGGAGAATGCAAATGCATGTCAAATAGAATAGAAAAGGAGAGTACCAAAACAAGCTTAGAATAGTCATAGCTTAGGACAAGGGTGAGCAATCAGTGGATAAGTGGGCCAACAAGAAAGGACTTAATGCACAAGGAAGCAGGAAAACTAGTGTTGACTACAATGGCTGAGGACAAACAGATATAGTAGTAGTTCACAGGAAGTGCCTTGCACTACTTGGACCATTTGTGATGAACAACTTCATATATGTGCGGAAGAACGGGAATGGTAACTTGTACATTAAGTCACCATCAGACCTTCCCCGTAAGTATGGACATAGACAGCCACCATTATTATACTTCTCCAATATGAGGCTCTGTTCAAGATTCTGGACTATAAATTCATCCAGAAGCATATCGATTTCCTGTATAGCTTTGACCATTCAATTCTATAGTTATCAAAATCAGATCAGATAGATTGATTTAAATGAAAAAAGAAAAAACTAGAGGGGATACTAATTGAATCGGAAAAGTCAAAGAACTAATGTTGAGCCAATTGAATCTGTCATGTCGATCAAGATTACCCAAAAATGACAAGAAAAAAAAGTGTTTTTCAGACAGCTTTCGGAAAGATAATCTGTCCTTTAAAGAGTTTATAATGAAAAGAGAAAAAAACATCTAAAAGAAAGTCTACGAGACTTTAGAATAAAGCTCTATGTTATTGTCTATATTTGAAGCCACAATTATTGATGTTTTGATTTTTTTTATATAATTGTACTTTTTTCTATTTTTATTTTTAAATAAACAAGTGTTCCTCCAAGATTGGCAAATGCCTCTCTGCAGATTGACTTTGCAACCACTGTTTGGTTGCCAGTTTGAATCAGTCACTTAAGCTATTCCTTTCACCAAGACCCAGTCCACTGGTAGAAGATCCATGTCAGGACAGTAGACCATTTACCAAATGCTTATGACCATTGAGCTCATCATGAGATCAACAGTCTATTTTAACCTAACACTACAAGCCTGAAGACACTAAGAATGACAGGATAAATCAGTCTTGATATAGAACGTGCAGAGAAATAGAGAAAATGGAGAAGAACCAACTCTTCTCCATGCCTTCTTTTGTTTACTCCCCTCTTCAAGAATAAGAAGATTCAAGAGAGAGGGGGACTTTGAGTGTTTCTTTCTTTCTTTCTTTTTGTATCTTTGGTTGCTTCTTTACTCCCCTGCACTCCTTATGTTAGCATCCAAACAGACTAGCAACAATGCATTTCATTTTCTTTACATGGGGCCTATGCTTTCTTGGCCCCCTGCATGAGCAAAGAGCCATGCTATTTTCTATGCCCTTATTATAGTCACTATGCAGTAGGGCTTAGGTTTATCATTGAATATGAACTGCATTTGTTGTTAGCTCGGACCTTGTCCGCGAGCCTGGTTGTCTGTATCCAGCTTTTGAGAGGAATAATGTGAGAGAATCATCACGATAAAACTAAACCAAACCATTGAAAAACTCAAGTAGATGCTCCCAAATAACATAATGCTTCATAAGCTAGTCATACCTACTGATACATAAAAAGAATGGAGAAACTGACTTGTCCTTGTAGATCAGCCAGCCATAATCCCAGAAGACTATGAAAATTGGATCAAGAAGAGAAGAAAAACAATGTCAGCGGTATCCAAATCTCTCTACAAAGTTAAAGGTCCCAATCAGCAATAACATGATAAAATCCATAGACAGTTTCATGAATGATAAATGTCCATGATCTGCGATCATTCTTAGTTGATGGGAAGGAAATAGCAAGCATCTGCTTTCATTTCAATGGGGACTGTCATTGGACCCCTCATATCCTGTCCATGGCTATATGGAATTTTTAGGTGTTGATTGAGCAGAAAATGATATGACAGAAAGGAAGTTAGACTTTAACTTGCTTAGCCCAGATTGATTTTGCTGTGATCCGGAGAGATGGATGGTCTGTCGACTAAGTGGCACCAACTTTTGCCTGTATCGATTTGCTTCTTTGGGCACCACGGCTCACGTTTGCTCTATGATTATTTACTATAATCTTCATTTTCCTGAATGTTACATGAAAATGCAACTCTGTTACCAAACTCCTGTCATATAGTGCTCTTCCAAAATCAATATAATCCTTTTCTTATGCTATGGTTGACTAAATTGTCATTTTGCAATTAGATCTGTGCTTGTCTACTTCATCATTGCATTTGCATTCTCCGCAATATCCATCTTAAAATTAGTTTTGTTTAGCTCTTGATGTTTGAAATAGATGGTGTTCCTTTGGCTTGCTTCTTTACTCATGTCTGCTGTTTTGGTTATTTAATGACAGATATATTAATCTCTCAACACCTAACACTAAGTTTATTAAGCCTATTTGTTGATATTACCAGACTTGTAACAATTTCTCTTTTCAAATGTTGCAAAGTGTGTCAGTATTGCTCATCAATATGTTCCACATACTGACTCTTTTCTTGAATGGTTTAGACTAGCACTTAATAGGGTTGTGCCAAATATGTTTGCATTTGCTTCATCACCCAGTGTTTCAGTTCTTTTTTATTTACATATCCCTGTCAATTTTAAATCTACACAATACATTTAGTTCTATGATCTGTGATGGCTGATCACCATATGATCTCAGATGGTCAGACCTATTGTTGTTGTAAGTCCTCGGCTTAAATGATTCTATATTAAGAATAACTAGTCTTAATAATGAACACCAGTTACGGAAATCACAAAGTTAAGTAGAGCTCAACTCCATACACGGGTTCATCCCATAGTATAGAAGGCTTTAAGACAATAAGCATAAGGCAAGTCATCAATGTCATGTAAAATGAGGTTGAGGCTCATATATATAATTATCTTAAGGTATTTTGGTATTGCTTAAAGCCATAAACCATAAAACAGTTACCTAAAGTGTTGGAGGAATTATATTGAGGATTTGTAATGGACACAGAAGTTACATGTATGGTGTTGTGTTTTCATGATTGGAACTGTATCACGAAACAGTAAACCTCTGACCTCCCATATATTAGTGTAAGAAGTTAAACCAGGATTAGGTCTTGTATCATACAATAAAACCATTTCTTTGGCATCATCAAGAGACCTTTATTTTGCATAAAATATTCTGTATTGTCCTGTGGCCTAGGTAAGTATGGGCTAGGCCTTTAATCATGCAGATCATGGACATTTATCATTCATGAAACAGTCTATGGATTTTATCATGTTATTGCTGATTGAGACCTTCAAATTTGTAGAGAGATTTGGATACTGCTTGCATTGTTTTTCTTCGCTTCTTGATCCAATTTTCATGGTCTTCTGGGATTATGGCTGGCTGATCTACAAGGACAAGGCAGTTCTCCATTCTTTTTGTTCTGCTCAATCAATACCTCAAAATTCCATATAGCCAAGGAAAGGATATGAGGGTCCAATTACAGTCCCAATAGAAATGAAATCAGATACTTCCTATTTCCTTCCCATCAACTAAGAACGATCTAAGAAGCATCATTCCAGAATTAATTGTTCGTCAGTCTACTAGTCCTTTGTGCAACAGAAACAAGAAAGGAGCATTATGCAAAACCCTAACGTAATTGAGAACTCGTCCCCGAGCATTTTAATATGAAATTTTCATCAGTTATTGAAATGTAGACAAATGGATTAATAATAAATCAAAATTAGGGCATTGCGAATATTCGAACAAGAGATCTTAGAAGATCACCATACGCGAGGCGGACTTGGAACTCACCATAGGCGAGCCATTCTCCGTCCATCCTTGAAGAGCATTACAGCCTTCTCGTTCGTGACGCTCCGGCATGACCCCGCAGTATATGCAGAACCGGCTCTTAGGGTTCTCAGCGATGATGATCATCACGAATGACAAAAGTGGCTTCTCGGTAGGCTTTATCTTCGGCCCCGAGAGCACGACATCCAGATCCTCTTTCTCACCGGCGGGGGCTTCTTTCTTAGGAGCAGAAGTTTCCTCCCAGAGAACATTTTGAACTCTTCTCGCCGCCGGGAAGCATGAATACTTGTCCACCACAAAAATTAGTTTACGTATTATTATATAAATTATTATATAAAAGGGGTCAATTTTTCGAGCTAATTATAGCTTATCCAATTTAATCTTAGATTTAAAAAAATATATTAAAATCTCTATAATTATGAAAGTAAAATATATAGATTTATTTACCTTAATACCATCAATTTTATTGATAAAAATATAAAAATAAATAAAAAATAAAAAATAAATTTAATATTTTAATTATGATGACAAATGACGATACCACTAAGAGTCATGGGTGATTGCTGTGGATGAGAAAAGTACTGACGATAGAGGAGAGTCGCTCTACATTTACATTAATACCGACGTAATTGTGAAAAAACCATGAATATTGATATAGAGCAATTAAAGGACTATTTGATAATTATATCGACATTAATATAGATATAGAGTAGCCCTTACCTCTTGTTATTATTCTCCACATCCATAATAATCATCCATGGCTCGCACTGACACCGTTGTCCATCACCATTGACGTCGTCCACCACTACCAATTAAAATGTTGAGGTTATTATTTTTTATTTTATTGATAAAACCGATAAATAAATCTATATGTTTCGCTTTTATAACTATATAGATTTCAATATAAACTTTTTTAATCTAGAGACTACGATGATAAAGAGATAAGGTATGTAATTAATCCTTATTTTTAAAAAAATTAAGGCCTAATATCTAAAAAAATATCATATAGCATAAATTACTAATTTTTGTATATTATTATATTAAAGATTAGGGCTATTTATCGAAAAATTTGAAGTATTTACCCTTTTTTTCCCGCTGAATGCTATGCATTCTATAAAATATCACGGGGACAAGACTAACCCTCAATTTTTCTTACATATGTATGAATTAGTAGTATATTTATTAAAGATGAATTAATCATTGAGTGTTGGCCAAAAAAAAAAAAGGTACCTTCGAAGAACCTTTTATATTTTCTTTTTCAGTATACTATAAAAAGACAGTAAAGATGAATAAAAATATTTACCTTTGGCATAAACTTTATATAAGTAGTAGAATAATTCCATCAATAAGTGAATCTTTTATTTATTTTATTTTCTTTTAGGTCATTAAGCACACATCTATGTTGAATACAGAACTAAAGAATAGTGCTCATTGATGACTTCCTTGTCATTAGAGCCACCAACACATTCATTGATTACTTTGCAAGAGTCATGCTATATAGGCTGTAAACCAGTGGGTAGGGAATGAAAAGGTAGAAGAGCACCCACCAGCATGATCTTGTGGAACAAATGCTTGGGTCTACCAAACGGAGTCTTGTGGGAGAATTTACTGTAAACAATCTGTTCATGGCTTAAAAGCTAAAGTACAAGAGAATCCTTTCAGAAAAGATGATGCTCTTGTTGAATCAGATGCTTCGAGCCTTAATAATTGTCAGCTCCATTATTTAATTCATGTACAGAGCTGCAGTGTGCTTGTGGCATTCAATTCGTCAGTTCAAATCACCTGCAGAAGCATAAAGTTTCTGATACGAAGGGGGTGTTGATGACATCATTATCGAACAACAACAATAATAATAATAATAATAATAATAATAATAATAATAATAATAATAATAATAATAATAATAAATCGTAAGTCAAATCGATTATATAAATTTTTTATCGTTATTAAGATTTATAAAAATATATATACTTAGTTAAATTCAAATTACTTAAATTTTATTTATAATTTTTATTCAAATTTATTTAGGTCATTCTCTCTCTTTTTGTATCACTAATATTAATTATTTTATTTATTTTGATTATCGTATGGTCTCCTTAACACATGCTCATATTATATTAAATATTTTTTCTCATCTTATCTTCTACCAAAATGATACCTAGTTGTTCATAAATAATAATATTTTTTTATATTTCATATATCCATCTCGATATTTTTATCTTGATAATAAAAAATATATAAATATTTTTTCTTAATGCCTAATACTCATATTCATAAGTATTATTTATCTCACGATGGTTTTATAATTTTTTTTAATATAAAAAGCATCATATGATCACATAAGACTCCTAACACCCCTTATTATTTTAACAATTCTATTCTTATTCTATGAATAGTATATTTATTGATCTCTATATGTCATAGAATAATTAAACTAAGATACTTAAAGCTTCTATTTAGAGGGACTTCTTGTTTAACCAATTTAATTATATATATTTTTTAATTTATTTATAAAATCTTTAAAATTATATTTTATATATTCAGTCTTAGTCATATTTAATCTAAAACATTTAGTTTCTAAGACTTGTATACATAACTCAAGTTATAATTAATTCTAATTAGGCTTTCATCAATTAAGATGATACCATAGTAAATGACATATTAGAAAGGTTTATCATGTAGATGACTAATAAGTTAATTCAGTATGAATTTAAAAAAAATAGAAATTTAACGTGGATCCTTAGTGTAATCCTATACTAAAAAAAAAATCTATAATTCTAACACTAAATATTATATTATTATATATATTTAATAATATTAATATAATTAGTGGATTATTTTTTCTTCTAAAATACACCATAATAAATCTCTAAAAACTCTATCATATATTTTCTCTAAGTCAATAAAAATCATATATAAATTTTTTCTCTGTATACTTTTTATTAATTATCTTAATAAATAAATAGCTTCCAAACATAAAACTAAATTTATTTTTAGATACATTTGTTTCAGGCCTTATATTATTTTTTATAACTCTTTCCTAAAATTTTATAATATTATAATAATTACAAAAACAAAAGTTTCATAATTTCAAGCCTTAATAGACGACAAGAATCTCCCAGGAAAAGCCATCTATTAGATGGCTGACAACAATTACAGCAACTATTCTTAGCTCTGTTCATCGACTCATAAATTAGTGCTTTGTGATTCAAGCAATCAATTTAATGTCGATACAATGCATGGTAAGTCAAGCTACCTGAGATTTCAGAAGAACCATACAGACACATCACTTGGTACATGTCATTCAGAAGTGAAAAATGAGATCTAATTTTTGGATGGTCGACAAGTTATTAGCTGCAATAATGTTCCAATTATTGGCAGAAACATACGGAAATGAAAGTACCTACTGTGCTATCTCATACATCAAACTCTTCTGGTAGTAGTGCCATTTTGAAGATCTTCCAAGGTAGTAGTTCCACACTCCTTCAGCCATGTTATCTACCTTGAGCAATTCAACACCCTCATCGAAAGCACCAGTACCATTGCCTGCCTGTAATTTCCCTGCAAAGTTGATCGGCTCGCCGTCTTCCCCTGGCAAACTGTTAGACCATCCAATATCTGACTTGAAGAAGAAACAGGCCACTCTAATTTTGTTGTTATATACACCGCAATTTATTTCATCATAAACCTTGATCACTCGAGGCGCAGAATTTTCTCCATTGCTGAAGAAGACTTCTTTGGCTGCCTCTTTACCTGACAAAATAAATAGGTACACTGCCATGGAACATACTGAGGTAGAAATCAGAAGAGGAAAGAAGAAGCCGAGGATTTTTGAGAAAAGTGGACAAAATAATGACAGAAGAATGGCAATCAAGACAGACGAGGCAAGCAAAAAACTATTATGCAATCCAGTCTCCCAGCGAGTATGGAGGGCTTTCATCATCAGTACGAAGAGATTGCTAACCATGGCTACTTAAGATCACAAAATGAGCCCGCAGAAGTGAGCTTATAGAAGGGAATATATTCTCTAGCTTCATGGTGCATCATTCTTACAGGTTGGAAGCTAGTGGAAGTAAAGTTTAAAGGGAGAATCTTCCTTTATAACTGAAGAATAAAACTGTCGTGAAGAATAAATAGGATGCTTGAGAACTAAATCAACAAGAAACAACATATCTTCAGTTGAAAGTCTCAGGACCTGATGTACAAAGATCTTTTCCAAATTTTTTGATGTAAATAAAAATGGCACTCTGCTGCTACAGTTTAACTATCTAATTTAGACTCTCGAGTGACATAAACATACTATCACCCAATCAAGTTAATTGAATAGTGTTCATTTTCATGATACTTGAGGAGAAGGAGACAACATAATTCTGACTTCACTTGCATGTGATTCTTTCATGATATGAGCCCTTCATTTGCGCAATTTCTCTCATTCATGATCAAGATTGTCTAAGTATGTTTTCTCAGGTATTTGTTGCACAACAGAGCTTGAAGCCATACAAAAGAATCTGATTCTTACAAATAACACATATCTACTCTAGTTGTTCCTCAACCAGAAGCTATTACTGCTTGCAGCAATAATGCAATCATGACCAACCTTATATCGAGCAATATAGAATGCAAAACAAGAGCAATTGATATTGTAGTCATTTCAGGAGGATCAAGCACTAGCAGATGAAACAGAGACTATTCATACTTTTTTATCTCTTAATGCACAACTAGAATAATCAATTAACAGCCCTTAGAAAAAAAAACTCGTACCTTAGATTACATTCAGAGAGGAAATAATCTTATTAGAATGATTCTGCTCTTCAATCTTACTGTTTCAAAATCAGTAATGGTGAATTCTATAGTGTAATGGCCCACATCATATTTTACAGCACAATCTTCTTTTTCATCATTCACTTTGTGCCGGTTGGATGAACATGCAAAAGGGGATATCTGGTCTCTAAGCTTTTTGAACGTTTGATGTGATTAAATGTAGCCAATTTTTTATCCGAGGATATATCATTGAGTTTTCAATTAGTAACGCCAAAGCATTATCATTCATTTAAATTTTGGGTTCTAGCCTTTGTGTATGTATGGTAATGAGACATAGCATCCTTTACTATGTAGTCAAAGCACAAAAGCAACAGGTTAGTTCTGTCTCCAAGGCCCATGTGGGGTGTTTGTCTAATTTTAGGAGAACCTTCAAAACCCACTACTGTTTGGGAGAAATTACCAGGAAATCAGCTCACATTAGGTTTTTGATCTTCTTGCACTCTAAATGTAGCCAAGCCGAAAAGCAACATCAAGTCTAAATAGTTGGCAGAACTGAGACTATTGCTCAAAAGTTCAAGATTCCTTTGAAACTGTAAGATCCATTTTGAAGGGGATAAAGATTGGAGATGTTTTAAGAATTAAGTATGAATTAGAGGCCACATTTCAATTGCCTTATTCAATACAAAACATCAAGGTCCAATTATGTCTGATGAAGAGGAGAACAAGTAAGACAAAACAGTTGTAAGAAATTTGAGTGCTTATAATTATTTCCTCTACTGAATGTAACACAAGGTACAAAATCTTGAATTCAAGAATTCGTGCTGATTCAAAACAGTCTTCTTGAATCAACACAATCTACCAAGGACCAATTATTTGTTTCTTTCCAAGAAGCTTTCTACTGGTTTTTGTGTTAATTCAAGATTGTTCCCCGATTAGGGTTGAAGCACATATAGTCTTTCTCATATTCCATCAGATTAACCTAATCACCCGTTCCATTAGTTTCACTACAATTTCTACAGGAGAGGAACGTTTGTCCAAAGATCTCCCATGTTTTGAGTTCTCGAGTTCTGATCTAGCATTAAAGAATTCCCTTTCTCAGGAAAATCACCATGTGGTCAAGGAATCCATCAGGAGCGTCCAACTCGAAGTGTTCGATTGGCTACTCCGAACCAGATCGATCTTGTATATGAAAAAGGGAAGGTTTGCCGGTCAGCCATTACAGACGGCGAGGACATGAACTTGATACCAAACGAAGTGAAAAGGAGGAAAAGAACGATGGATGGCGTCTTGGGCATCAGAGAGAGAAGGGAAAGAAGGGAGAGGTAGAGATACCTACCATCATCATCAGGGAGGGAGTCTCATGTTTCCATTCCTCATCCACACCATTGATGAGGGATGCCCAGCTGCTGCTCTGCCGGCTTCGTCTTCTTCCTCCTCCGCGAACATCTCCGGATGCGAAGAGGATATGTATGACATGTCACACTCTGAAGTGACCGTTAGGCTGGGCAAGCCGTTATTTGAACCCCGCGCGCTCCTTCGGGATTCAAAAACTATAGCCGTTGGAAGCCCGCAGCTCGCTTGTGACCGTTGGGAATCGATCGCTGTTTTAACAGCCTCGACCTCGACAGAGGGGCACAGCGCACTCCTCTTCTCTCTCTTTCCTCGCTCTGCTTCCTCCGTCTCCTTTCTCTCGGTGAAAGAAGAGCTCGACAGAAAGATGAACGACCTGATGACCAAATCCTTCTACAGCTACGCCGACCTCAAGAAAGAGGCCCTCAAGGACCTGGAGTCCGGCGCGGCCGACGACGTCGCCATTGAGATGGCCGCCGGTGACGCCGACGGTCACCTCCGGCACTTCTTCGAGGAGGCCGGGCTCGCCAAGGAGGAGATGGCCGCCATCCGAGACCTGCTCGCTCGGCTCCAGGCTGCCAACGAGGAGAGCAAGTCCCTCCACCAGCCGGAGGCTCTCCGCGGCCTCCGCGATCGCATCAATGCCGACATCGTGCGGGTGCTCAAGACGGCCCGTGGTATCCGCGGCCGGCTCGAGGCCATGGACCGGTCCAACGCGGCCAACCGGCGGCTGTCTGGCTGCCGCGAGGGCACTCCCGTCGACCGGACCCGGACCGCGGTCACCAACGGGCTGCGGATAAAGCTCAAGGAGCTGATGATGGAGTTCCAGGCGCTGCGGCAGCGGATGATGGCGGAGTACAGGGAGACGGTGGAGCGGCGCTATTTCACGGTGACGGGGGAGGCCCCCGAGGAGGAGGTGATCGAGCGGATCATCGCCAACGGGGAGAGCGAGGGGATGGTGAAGAAGGCGATGCTGGAGCACGGGCGAGGGAAGGTGCTGGCCACGGTACACGAGATCCAGGACCGTCACGACGCGGCCAAGGAGGTGGAGCGCAGCCTGCTGGAGCTGCACCAGGTGTTCCTGGACATGGCGGTGATGGTGGAAGCCCAGGGGGAGCAGATGGACGACATCGAGCACCACGTCGCCAGCGCCGCCCACTACGTCAAGGACGGCACCAGGGAGCTCAAGTGCGCCAAGGAGTACCAGAGGAGCAGCCGCAAGTGGCTCTGCATCGGCATCATCCTGCTCCTCCTGATCATACTGGTTATAGTCATCCCCATCGCCACCAGCTTCAGCAAGTCTTAGACGCTCAGGCACCGATTTCTCTATTAGCGGGCGAGGTTCTTCTTTTGGGGTCTGGAGTTCCGCTCAAGCTCCTCTTTTGGGAGAAGTCAGCTTGGCTTTGTTGCAGTCAAAGTTTCACGAAAAGTTTCGAGTGTCGTTCTAGAAAAGAAAACAAAATAAACTTACAATTCCTCCAATTTATATTGATGTTTGTGCTACCTGCATAAAATATCTTGATATTTGCAATCTGATTTAATTTAATTCTTTCGTGAAAGATTCAATCTTGTTTGGATTAATTAGGAATTGCAGGGCCATGTTTAAATGTGTGATATATAAAAAAATATATATCATTATGATTATGATTATGATTATATATATATATATATATTAGTTCATAAACAAACATATGTCACATGTTAATCGGATCTTAACTAAGCATATGAAATTTCGAGAAATAGATAAAAAATTAATCATAATAAAGGGATAAAACAATTAGTCATATAGTAAGCAAATAAAACTGTTAAACCAATTAATAACAATAAACAATACTCGATAAACGAGCCTATAAAATCATCATTTCTGACCGTTGGCCATCGATGCGCAACGTGTCATATAAAGAATGGTCCTGTCCATAAGCGTCCGACGGCTCGGTGAAGAGATAAGATGGGGACGCGGGGCCCGAGGAAGCACAGCGAGTGGCGGTGGAGGCGGGGGTTGGAGATGGGGCTTCTGCGGCTGTGAGCGTGCGCAGCTTCTCCCCCTCCCTTCCTCTACCATTTAAGCCCGTCAGGAGTGTGTCTCTCTCTCTCTCTCTCCAACTTCTACCTATTCATCTCCTTGTTTCCTGCCACTCCGTCCGGGCAGCTTCCTCTTACAGGTTCCTCTCTTTCCCTGCTTAGTTTTATGAGATATATTATTAGTGCATGATACGCGAATTCATTAGCTTCACTGTTGGAGCAGATAGGCTACTCGTAATCTTAAAGCATTAACATGATGCAGAGGTTTAGCTCTCTCTGTCTCTCTTCCTTTTAGCCCTGTAGCTATTGGCTTTGATCATCTTAAGAAGGCAGTATCCTGTTATCAGGGAGTAGGCTAAGCTGGAATTAGTTTCTTCTGAGGTTTAGAGCAAGGAAGAGTTGCATTACTACTTGTATCGGTATGAATCACTTGTTGTTAAGCAGGTGTAAGTTTACTTAGATACGTTAACCCTTCTCTTCATTCAAAACAGTTTCATGCTGAGACTGGTTTCTAGTTTCAAATGGCATGTATTACGTACTGCAAAAGGTTCGGATGTCTCCCATTACGCTCCTTTGGAAGGAATTTAGTGCTCATCATGCATTACAATTGCTAGTCATTGAGATTTGAGACATCGAGCATTTTAGCTGGATGTTGTGTTGTTTGTGTTGAACAGTAGGTTGACAGATTAAGCATTCGGCTGCAGATGAGCATCTTAAACCAGTCCATCAGTCCAAATGGACAACCGGCATTCCCCCTTAAAGGTTCTGCCGCACAAGATGCCTGTCAAAATGTTCAAATGGCCTTGCCATTGCGTAAGACTTCCACCCTGAAGGCATACCGATCGAGCTCCATGAAGAAAGCTTCCTCTGTTCGTGGTGCATCTGATGTTGGATCTCGGACTGATCGACACATTGACATTCTAGATGGATTCACCAGCAGCATTCGCAACCTGCCTCATCTACTCCAGCTTGAAAACCAATCTGAGAATGCAGAGAGATGCAAGATATCAGTGTGCAGCATGAAATTCCAGCCCTTCAATCCAAGTTTCATGCATGCCTTTGTGGAGAATGAGGAGTTCTGTGAGACAGAAGATGTTGGCAAAGAGTCTGATCGAGGCTCCTTCAAGCCAAGTGATGTTCTTGTCATCTCTGTTTCATCTGCTGTGGAGCTGGATGACCGACAGATGGATCTCATCACTAGGAAGATGCAGAAGCTGACAGGATTCAGAAAGTTGAGGCTGGAAAACATCGTTGATCCATCGTTAATTGCAGGGTTTGTCATCAGCTACTGCAGCGATGGGTCTCATGTTATCGATCTAAGCGTGAAAGGTCAGTTGGCTACACTAGCAGCCCGGCTCGAATCGTCGGATCAGAAGACTGCCAACACTGTGCAAAGCTGGAGTTTCCCAAGCAACACGAGCTAAACTGATCATATACAAACTCATGAGTCCGGACAATGAACTCAAGGAAGCAAGATCTTGATCTTGTTCTGCTCAACTCTAAATTTTTGGTTTCAGAGATGTGGATACAAGCAGGCTCTTACTACCTCTTTCATGTATTGACAGTGAACCTATTAATGGAGTTGTTGTATGCATCAAGTTTTGACTGTTTCTTGCAGAGTTTATCTCAGTTTAGATCAAGAGATGCGACTGCCAATTAGCCTTGTATGTTTTGACCTGATGTGTAAGATATCTGATGCCATCACCTTACCACCCCAATCTGCTATGGTTGTTCTTCAAACCCAGGTTTTTGAACTGCTGCGCATAAGAGATTTCAAGGTCGATAAGATTTAGATGACAAATGCATGCTGATGCATAAGCCCAAATGAATCTAACACTTCTTGTGAATCACATGGTGTGCGGAACCAAGTGTTACAGGGGGAATAAAAACACTGTTTACTGCGATTCATGTGCCATGAATGAAACTATAACTTGGGCTGTGTTTGATGACCCCAAGAAGCCTCGAAGCTTTAAATGCTGTTGTTGCAGAAGCACGTTTCACATGCAACATGTGCTTCCGACTGAAACCGTATCTGTGGCAGATGCAATGCACAATCCATGTGCTTTCTTGGCCGGTTGAACTTGGAAGGAAGATGAGATGATGGTAGTCGTGTGAGAAGGGCAACTTTCCGGTGGCCTACTTCGGGGGATCCCATGAACGGGCGATCCTATCTGTTCTTAAGCATTCATCGTCGTCTCGATCGAGCACCGAGAGTGATGTCGATTCAGCTTAGCCTTGCTGTGCCGCGACTCCGAGAGGGCCACCTCGGCGGTCCTCGAGGAATCGTCTCCGAGTCGTCGCCGTGTTCCTAAACGCGCGACGGAGTCGCCCACGCACGGCGGATCCGAATTTGACTTTTGAACTTGATACAGCATAATCTTCCAATGAGAATAACCCACGTCAGAAGTAAACGCGACGGTTCCGACGGCAAGTACGACTCGATTCCCGCAGCCGATCAGGGCATGGTGGCCACATGGGATAGCACGAGGAAAAGGTACAAGGCGTGGGGGAAGAGAAGACGGACGCGGTGACAGTTTGACTGCTCCTGCCCTCGTCCCTCCTTCCCCTCCACCTTCCTCCGGCCGTAATACCACATCAGCAGCCATAAAAGAAGGAGCGAGGAGGCGGAGGGCGACGACTATCGATCCAGCTCGATCGATGGCATCTTCATCTTGTGCCTTGGAGCTGCGTGCGGCAGGGCTGGCCAGGGAACTCCTTCAGGTTAGGGAGAAGCAAGGCGGCGCTTCGAGCTGCCATCTCGCGCCATGGGGGAGGAGGACGATGGGTGCAAAAGCTAGCCTGAGGGCCGCCCAAGCGGCGGGACACAGCGCGACGAAGGGGATCTCCTCCTCCTCTGCCTGCCTGGAGCGTTCTTTTCCTAAGGAGCAACGGAGGGAGCCCGTGACACCCGAACAGGTGGACCAGTGGATGACGGAATCCATCGGGGAGGTAGAGATCGCATCTGCTCCCTTCTGCAATCTTTCTTCCTTGTTTGCTTGGCTTTTGCTGACCTCAATTGCATTGTTGTGCAGATAGTCCGGAACGTAGGGGAAGAGCCCTTTCTCATGCGCATCTTCTCCAGCGGCGGCGCGCCCGGCGTGCGACTGGAGAGCGAAGCGGCATTGCCGGAGAGCTGGCCGCGGATCAAGAAGAGGTGGGACCGGGAGAGCCGCACCCCCGACGCGGTCATCCTGGTGGAGGTGCTCGAGCAGGAGGAGGGGGAGAGCGGGGCGGAGGCAGATGAGGCCACGGCAAACTGTGGCGTGGCCGGTGGCGCCCGCAGGACGTGGGGGCTGGTAGCGCAAGGGCGCGGCATGGACTCCGCGGCGTGCTACATCCTCGACACCACCCGCGTGAAGTCGTCGCTGGGATTTTGCACTCACTTCTGCCTCGCGAGAGCCAAATGTTTCGGAGAAGCCGTCCATGTGCAGCTCAGGAACACTTGGTTGCAGCGGACGGGGTAACGGCGCTCGCCATGAATGTGATAAAAAGAAGATCATGAGATAAACATGAAACGATAGCTTTGTATTTCTTACCTCCCTAATCAATTTATAATTAAGGATTAATCATAAATTTAAATATATAATTTGATTGTATAATTTAAGTATATAATTGGGATTTTTTTTTCAACATCTATATAGATATAAATTATCTTAATGAATAAAACAAGTTTCTCAATTCTTTATGATATCATAATCATCTTCAAGTAAAAAAAAAAAAAAAAATCCTCCTCCCTTTATTTCTTATCTATCGTAGCTTGCTAATCTACCTTGCAATAATATGCTATTGTTGTCACTACAGCAGTAATCCTTTCCTCCATGATCTACACTAGTATCGGAATTTCTCGAGGGCGCCTTCTCCCTTATCTTTCTTACCGCTGATAAGCTCTATTCACCCCATAACTCTATTCACTACAACTCTTTATTATTATTACTCTTATTATCGCTGCCATTGCAACTTCTCTTATAGTTACTGACGTCGTCACCCTCGCTAGTATCACCGATCAATGCCACATCCGATCATCAACTTTATTATAGGCCATGAACATCATTGTCGACTTTGTCGGTGTCCTCAAATACCTCCTTTGATGTAAATCATAGATATGTGGATTGTTGGTTAAATTAACCAGATACTCTTTTGTTCGTGCGCTCTCCTTCACTTGTTACTACTAATGATGCTATTCGATCTGATTCATCATCTCCGTCGATCGTGATCTACAACTTGCCCTTTGTATTTTGTTGTCACCGTCGATGATCGACAACCTCATTCACATAGGTCTTAAGGCTTTCTTGATTCAAGCAAGGCCTCCTCTTCCTTGTTGCCCTAACGATAGTGATTTCTCTTCTTTGTTGATCTGCTCCAGTGTCATCGGCTCCTCTCCGATGATAAATCGCATCGCTCCACTAATGGCTTGGCAATCGTTCTCCTCTCCCTATTGCAAAACATCGATCATTGTCGTTGATTACTTTGCTCAATGGTCTTCATCCTAAATCTATAATATTCAACATAGATATATAATTTTCTTTGTCCCAATTCTATTCGTTACTATTACCATCATAGATATGCAATATTCTCTCCTGTGACTCTATCATTTCCACCGCCCTCTGCTGTTGTCAAAAAAAGGGCTTTCTCCAAATCTGTAATTCTTATATCTATGCATCATCGAATCTTCTTCCTCCTTGGATCAAAAACACCTCCTTAAATAGCAATCCTTTGGCAACACCGCTCTCCCTATCAATTTCTCCCTTGTGCACATCTCAAATGTAATCTTCTCCAATAATAGATCAGATCACCATCATATATCAAATCATTAGTTGAGTCTAAATTTTTTCTTAGTAGATTACAATATCTTCTTAGCATGTCTTCAAAAAATAATAGTTAATCTCAATTTACAAGACTTATATTTGTTAATACAAAAACTTTGATTCTCTTTAAACTATCCAAATGCAATTTTCGCAAGCATAATTCACTAATCTCCTCTTTGGATATGATCTATTAGGTTAAATCTATAGCTCTCTTAGTTGTCCACCGGAAAAGTTCTAAATATTAGGAGAACACATCCCAATAACAAATCCCGATTATAAATTATGATTATGACAATATCATCTTATTCTATAAGTTATTCAAGCCCAATCTCTTCATACAATACTATAATAGAAGTATTGTTCACTTTACAAACTATCTTCGTCAATCGCTCTTTTATCTACTTTGAAGTAAATAACACAAGAGAAAAGTATTATTATTGATTATATACAAAATCAAAAGTTATCACAGATGATTTAACTTTATAGGTCATCCCCTAATTGATGAAAAAGTTATTATTTATACTCTCGCCTGGAAGATGAATAAAAGGAATAAGCAATAGTTCAGGCATGCGACTCACTAATGCTATTTGAAAAACTATATGATAAGTTAATTAATCATAAATATATGTGAAACAAGAAGAGAAGATGATATGACCAACTATCATAACTTAATTTAATAAAATATCTAAAAGAAAAGGCAATCAAAGCATTAAGAGTTTTAATAAAAGATCGAACAAGATATCTCCTGAATACATGAGTAATACATAGAGTCGTCCTTCTCTATTACACTATCAACTCTCTAACCATGATAGTAACTTCAATCCAAATAACTAAGATGATAATGTTAACTATAACTATTATTAGTTTTGGCATATGCTAACAATACCAATCAACAAAAAGTTATGTACCGGCTAGTGACAAAATTAAAAATGCAATAAAAGTTTAAAAATGATAAAATTATTATTATACCCAACTGGCCAAAAGCAAACATTATGACTACTTCGACTACTCATCTAGGAAATTAGATTATTGATTCTAATACTTCTCATCATATCACACTTCTAATTTACAAAATCTATCTATCCACAATGATGTTAGAGGCAATAAAGACATTATCATTGGTGGCGATAACATAATCCATATTATTTATACTGGTTCTACAATACTTAATTTACACAAATACTTTTACACTCAATGATGTTTTGTAAACACCTGAGATTAAAAGAAAACTTATTTTTATTTCTCAATTCCATAAATAAAATAACACCTCTATTGTATTCTTTCATAACTCGTTTCTTGTAAAGAATTTGAGCACGAGACATCTTTGGTTTAAGACCAGAATCAAAATGACATATTCGAGTGACTATCATCTTCATAAATCACCTATCCAACCACTCTTGCTTTAGTTGTTGCTTCAATTAATATGTGGCATAGTCGTTTTGATTATCCGTCATCCTTCATTTAACAATAGCTAATTTCTCATTACTCTTAACTTTCAAATCAAGTAAAATTATAACTCATTGTAATGTCTTCCTTAGTAATAAAAAACATAGATTATCTTTTGAAACATCTTCCATATCTTACTTTAAACTACTTGAAATTATCTATCTGAGGCCTTACCCTAACCACTTCCTTTGACAATTTTAAATTTTATATCATTTTGGTATATTATTTTACTAAATATACATAGCTATATCATCTCAAATATAAATCTAAAGTTAATATAATCTTTACTCATTTTAGAAAGATAATCGAGAACTTCCTCCATTCTACCATTAAAACAGTTTACAGTAAATAGAGGAGATGAATACCAAACTCTAACAACTTGTCTCTATCATATGATATGTAATATTTCAAGTCACTACCATGCATATTTCAACTAATTAGTTTTGTCGAATAAAAGTACCAACATATAGTTGAAACTGATCTTATCTTCTTACACAAGTCTCTATGCTACTAACATTTTGGTCATTAGTCTTTCAAACTATAGCCTATCTCATTAACTGTATGCTTACCACAGTCTTACAACACTAATCATTATTTGAAAAGTTATTTCATAAAATCTCAAACCTTTAAAAACTAAAAGTATTTGAATGTTTATGTTATCCCTAGCTACGCTCTTATGCTTCATATAAGTTAACTCCAAACCTTGCATTTTCATTAGGTACACCCTTGAACATAATACTTTTCGGTGTTATGATCCTTAAACTCAAAATATTTTTATTTCATGTCATATTATTTTTGTTGAGTCTATATTTTCCTTCTAAAATCTTGCTCTTTCAACAATACCATCCATCAATGGGTTCATATGAGTATATCTCAAACCCCCGCAAGCCCATCTCTCATCATATCAACTAGTAATTCTTCAATAGATATATACTCCCTTATTACTATAGTTTAATAATACCTCACCCCCTCGACAATCTCTTAATCTATCTTTCCACCAACTCACTCTTGCTAGTCATAGGTGCCTAGCGAGCCAATCACGTGAGTGATGACACGTGTGACTTGATATATAATTTTTTTGCTTATTATATTTTGGCATATATCACTTTATAACTATTGCATATATGCACATATATATTGTGATGTCCTTGGATTTGTGTAATAGGAATCAGATCGTGATGAGATCACGAAAATGAGATCGATTCACCTTTAAACACATATCCTAAATAATCTCGGTAAGAGGTTACTTGAGAGGGACATCGTGATAACTGGACAGACTGGTGTGCTGTATACCCGTCTATATGATGGATGCAGCTGGTCTCATAGCTGCTCGTGTAGGGACACTAGGGATACAATACAGGTACTCATTGGAGAATGAGTTCACTGATTGATCCGCTTACGGAATGGTGGATGGTTGATGATGCCTTATTGTCAGACAACGATTCCGTAGTCCTAGTGGTATATCTGGTCCTTAGACTTGAGACACCAAGGATGTCCTGTATGAGTGCTCCACTCTTTGATACCATACTTATAGGTTTGGCTATCCTAGATCTAGTACAATTGGTCATTGGAAGTGGTAGTCGACCTTACGATGGCTATTGAGTGTCGATAGAGGATCATCCACTCTCGGCGTCATGAGAGGAATATCTCATGTATTCTTGCTCAGACAAATCCTTAGCCAGGGTCATTCGGGTTGAGAGAAAAAGAGTTCTCCGGGAGAATCCGATTAGATCGAGACTCAAGTAGAAACCGTATAAGTCTGACAGCACCATGCTCGATATACGGTCTCTGGGATATTAGATGGATGAGGGAGTATAGGTACACGGTAACTGAGAACAGACAGGTCCAATGGATTGGATTCCCTTGTATCGTCTGGGGACTACGACGTAGTGGCCTAGTACGTCCGTAGTCGATGAGTCGAGTGAATTATTACAAAGATAATAATTCACTGAGTTAGAAGGAGTTCTGACAGGTATGACTCACGGCCAGCTCGATATTGGGCCTAGAGGGTCACACACATATGGTAGGCATTGCGATGAGTAGAGGTTCGGATATGAGATATCCGACGGAGCTCTTGTCTTATTGGATATCCAATAAGCCCCTGAATTATTGGATCCCATGGACGAGATCCAATAAGTGCCCATGAGAGATTATTGGATAGAGATCCACTAATCTAAAAGGCTTGGGTTATTGGATGTAGATCCAATACCCACTAGGGGAGGATCCATTAGGGTTTGACATGAGACCTCTATAAATAGGAGGGATTCAGAGCCTCGTAGGCTAGAGCCTGTGCTTGCCTCTCGTATTCTCCTTCCCCTCTCCACCTCAGAGCAGGCTTAGAGTTTTGA